CTCTCTATCCCTCTCCCTTCCTCTCGGTAAAAAATCAATAAAATATATTTAAAAGGGGGGGGGGGGAAGGTGGAGGAGAAGGAGGAGGAGAAGGAGAATGAGAAGATTCTGACCTGCTACAATGTGGATGAACTTTGAACACACTACGTTCAGTGAAATAAGCCAGACACAAAAGGACAAGTACTGTATGAGGACCGTGGTTCTCAACCTTCCTAATGCCGCGACCCTTTAATACAGCTCCTCATGTTGTGGTGACCCCCAACCATAAAATTATTTTCGTTGCTACTTCATAACTGTAATTTTGCTACTGTTATGAATCGTCATGTAAATATCTGATATGCAGGATGTATTTTCATTGTTACAAATTGAACATAATTAAAGCACAGTGATTAATCACAAAGACAATATTTAATTACATATGTGTTTTCTGATGGTCTTAGGCGACCCCTGTGAAAGGGTCGTTCGACCCCCAAAGAGGTCGCAACCCAGGAAGGGAGAGGGAGAGAGAGAGACAGGTGGAGAACCGCTGCTGTAGGAGGTCCCCAGAGAAGTCAGATCCATGGAGACAGAAAGCAGGGGCTGGGGAAGGGGGAGTTAGTGTTTAATGTTGGGGAAGATGAGAAGATGGTGGAGATGGATGGTGGGGATGGTTGCACAACACTGTGAATGTGCTGAACGATCCTGGACTGGACGCTTAGAAATGGTTCAGATGGTAAATGTTATGTGGTTTGTATTTTACCACAATTAAACAGAATGAGACCGGGGTCACCCTCTCATCCTAGTTTGCCCAGAACTTTCTCAGGTTTAGCACTGAAAGTTCCCTGTCCTGGGGAATTCCCGTCCCAGGCAAACTGGCACAGTTGGTCACCCTGCTCAGAGCCCGCCCTGAGCGGTCAGATTTCCTGTGACCTGTCTCTCTAGGACTCGGAGAGGGAAATCGACCTGCCCACGGTCACTCACTCAGCAAAGTCGAGATTTAAGCTCAAGTCTGTCCGACGCTGATCCCATGGCCTTCTGCAGCCGATGGCGCACGGCTAAGCCGCTCACCCTCGCCCCACCTGGCCTTCCATTTTCTCACCCGCATCCCAAAAAGAGTTCTCTCCTTCCTCCCAGAACCGCCTGAGGGACCCAGAGAACCCAGCTCCAAGGCTGGCGGCTCCGGCACAGTGACGACATCGCTAACCTGGACCTTTCCTGCAGCACCTGCCTTCCCCGGATAGACCTAGTGACAAACCCAATGCTCCCCATCTTGTTTCCGCCAAGTACCCCCCAGAGTGTAACCTCAGTCAGGACTCCCCAGGCCCTCGGACGGGACCCTCCAAGACGAGGCAGCCAGAGCAGGAGTGGGCGGCTCCACAACCCCGCGGCCTCAGCCACGGCCTGGAGGGATGTCATGTGCCGCCGCCAGGACTCAGTTCCCTCACCTACACACTTAACGTGCTGATCACTGCGGTGCCCTCCGCCCAGGCCGGCCCTGCGAGCATGGATGGGGGCGGGGCATTGGCACCGCAGTGATCAGAGGGCCTGGGGTCCTCTCCACCACTCTGTGCCACAGGTACAATTTATTACGGTTTGCAGACGACAGAACCGAGGCGGACCTCGCCCGAGGCCACACACAAAGGTGGAGACAGGGTTCCGGGCCGGCTGGTGTGCTGGGACCCCAGGCTGTGTCCGCTGTGGGTCCTTCAGAGGCCACTCCCCCCCTGCCCTCAGGAGACAAGGAAGCAGGGCCAGAGTTACTCTTGCATTCGCTTGTTTTCCTTACGAGTCTTGCTTATCGTATTGATTTATAACTAAATTCCTTGGCAGAGGAGATGTTATGGCAGCATTTGGTGTTGATGGGAAACCTGTTTCCTGATAAGCATTGGAAGGAAGCACCTAAGTACTCAAGTTACAGCGTCCGTGCACGTATCACGTAAAACCAGCCCCAGGAATGCCCAGCACTCAGCACCCGAGACCTTTAAGGCCAAGAACAACCTCAGCCCAGTGCTTCTCAACTCACAGTGACCCTGCTCCAGGGGACACTGAACACAGTGTGGGGACATCTGTGTTTGTCATGACTGGGGGTGCTCCTGGCATCACCAGGGGGAGGGTCAGGGATGCTGCTTCACACCCCACAGTGCCCAGGGCAGCTCCTCACAGAGAATGACCCCGCCCCAATGTCCAAGAGCAGAGGGGAGACCAGGGCAGGGAACTGGCTCAAACCACTGCCCCCCCCTCACCGGGAGGTGCCCGGGGAGTGTGACTCACTATGCAGAGAAGGCCCCGGAAAGGGGCTGAGATCCCAGGACGGGGACAGACCCTGACACACACACCCACGTGCCTGTCGTCCCGTGGCTGACACCCTCTGGGCCAAGTCTTCTCCTTCCCTGAGGGACTTGCCAGCAGCCCCCCTTCCTTGGTCCTGCAGGGCCCTGGGGTGCCAGCGACCTCACCACATGGAAAGGTGCCTCTGCCTCAGGGTTGCTGGGCGGACGGGAACCTACTGGGCTCTTCACTGGAAACCGCTCCCCCTACCCCCCACCCCCACCCCCCGGCCCGCCCGGCGGCTCCCTCAGTTACAAAGCCCCATCCCAGCCAACACAGACAGACAGACGGACAGGAGACCTTCCACTCAAAGTGCCCCAACTGGCAACCTCCAGCCCCAGGACGCTCACCCGACCAGCACTCTGTCCTGGGCCCTGCCCCAAATGTCCTAACAGCTGTGAAGGGAAAACACTGAAATCCAGGCACTGATGGAGGCAGAGGCCCCAGGAGGTGGAGGGCCAGGCTGCAGCGCCCTATCCCCAACCGCCTTGTTCTCACTCGACTTCAGGACCCCTCCCCCACCCCCAGCATTTGCCACTCACATCAAGTATCACTCAGCCAGCCCTCTTAATCAGCAGTCACTCTGCTGGCACCCCCCTCCCCACATATGTCCCAACAGAGCCAGAGCAGTCACCTCCGAAGGCCATCCCTCCTGCCCATCCTTCTACCTGCCAGGGCCCTGAGGGGGTGTCCCTGGGGCCAACTGTGGGAGGCTCTGCCAGTGCCTGGGAGAGGAGTGGACGATGAGGACAGACAGGGGTGGCTGACGGCCTCAATCACCAAATGCCCTCCACCATCACCAGGAGCTCCCCAGATCCACCTAGCACATTCCGGTGGTCCAGGGATACCCAAGAATGACCTACCGCCTCCCTGTTCCCTTGCAGTTTCTCTGGCATTCAAGGTCACCAAACAACCGAGTGTCTGGGGGGGAAGGAGGTGGCGGCGGGGGGGGGGGGGCAGTTCACAGAGCAGAAGCGTCTTGGGGGGTTCAGTAGATGCAAACAGTTCATTCTTTATGGGCCTGTAAAGGGACCTTCAAAATACAAAATCCCAGGAAGTGGGGAGACACCAGAATGTCTGGGGACCGGGGAGGGAGGGAGCCCCAACCTCAGTCCCTGCCGGCACTCCCCAAGGGGCGCCAACACTGTGGCCACATCCCCACAAGACACATGCATTCTGGAGTCACCTGTCCCAGGGCAGGAGGCTCCTGGCTCTGTCCCCTCTAGGACACAGAGAATAGGTGAGGAGGAGGCCCAGCCCCCCCTCCTCCTCTTCATCCTCCTCCCTGCCCTCTTCCCCACTGGGATGGGCCCCCAAACCGCCTGGGACAGGTAAGTGCCACCAAGGCTGTGTTTCAGACGTCCTTTGCATGGGGTGTGTAGTTTCACCACTGTTCTGTGTCTCACTTTTCAGGCCACCGAGTGGGGTCGGGCAGAGGGATGGGGAGGATGGGGGAGATGGTTTTGGTACTTACTTTTCTTTTTCTCTCACAACAGGGAGGGGGTAAAGGTCTCAAGGGCTGAAGGAGCCGCTGGGGCTGGCAGACCCGGCTTTATAGGAGCCACCTCCCCATCCTGCCTCTGTGGTTATTAATAGCGACCACAGATTCTTGCTCAAATATGGTCAGAAGCATGACAGCTGCGAGCCTGGCTGGTACCTGCTGGTGGCCACTGGGCCTGGGGAAGATGGCACAAGACTGCCCTCTGACCTACAAGAGAGGGGCAGCACTCTGATGAACCCAGTGTGGTGTGGTAAGTCCTACAGCCTAGCCTCCCCCAAATCTAACAAGACTCATGCTTGGGGCACCCAGTCTGTGCTGGACCCTCTGCACCCTTTCCTTCCACTCTCCCCTTCACCCTAGGAGGCAAATAGAACCAGTCCCTGGGTGAAGGTAAGACTGGCACACAGAGGGATGGCGTCTATGGCAAGAGCAGGAGCCCAATCAGGCTGCATTTGAACCCAGGACTGTCTGACTCATCTCGTAGGTAGTATGGGAAAAAACACAAGCTGTGATGTAAGGCCTAAAATTAGGGCTCCACTGGTCCCCCCCACTGCACCTTCTGAGGAGGAGGTCTGCTTGCCCAACGCCCTCCTGATCAAGGACAGGGACAGGGCGCAGTGGCTGCTGATCCCCAAGTATCGGGTTTCAAGCCGGAGGAATCATTCGCATCAGTGATTGTGACCAATGCACCTGCCCCTACCACCCCATGTCTTTCTCTGTGCTGATGGCCGTTTGGAGAACTTGACCTCCTCAGAAATGCCAGCTTTGGTGTTCTCTGAGCGTGGTCCAGCACTGAGACTCTGATTGGATTGGCTGTACCATCAACATTTATGCAGCACTTGACGGTTATAAAACCCCTCTACGAATTCCCACTTAATCCTCATGGCATCTCAGACAAGGAAAGGAGGAATTACTACCATTTTGCATCTAGGAACATGGAGGCCAGGGCAGGCTTACATGCTGCCAGAGATCACGCTGCAATTTAGGGGGAGGGCCCGCTGTGGAAGTCGGGCCTCCCTCCCTCACCCTGCTGGGCATGATCTTTGCTTTGAGATAAACACCTTCCGAAGAGCTTCACACACACCGTAGCCAAATCCTAAGCCAACATAGGGGTAGACTCCTGACAGCTGGAGGGATGGAATTCAAGGATCCCACAGTTCCTGCCTCCAAACCACCTTAAGAAGCAGGCAATGTGCTCGCTCCAGCAGCACATATATTAGATTGGAACGATACAGAGAAGTGTAGCATGGCTCCTGCGCAAGGATGACATGCAAATTCGTGAAGCATTCCATATTTTAAAAAATAAGCAGGTCGCCGAAACTGGTTTGGCTCAGTGGATAGAGCGTCGGCCTGCGGACTGAAAGGTCCCAGGTTCGATTCCGGTCAAGGGCATGTACCTGGGTTGCGGGCACATCCCCAGTGGGGAATGTGCAAGAGGCAGCTGATCGATGTTTCTCTCTCATCGATGTTTCTAACTCTCTATCTCTCTCCCTTCCTCTCTGTAAAAAATCAATAAAATATATTAAAAAAATAAATAAATAAAAAAAATAAAAATAAATAAAAAATAAGCAGGTCGCCGAAACCGGTTTGGCTCAGTGGATAGAGCGTCGGCCTGCGGACTGAAAGGTCCCAGGTTCGATTCCGGTCAAGGGCATGTACCTAGGTTGCGGGCACTTCCCCAGTGGGAAATGTGCAGGAGGCAGCTGATCGATGTTTCTCTCTCATCGATGTTTCTAACTCTCTATCTCTCTCCCTTCCTCTCTGTAAAAAATCAATAAAATATATTAAAAAAAAAAAAAAAAAAAAAGAAGCAGGTAATAAGGGCAAAACCAGACAACAGGGAGCCCTTACTCCACGGATTTGCTGGGTGGATCACTCTCCCAGAGCAGAAGGAAGATGATGGCCCAGTGCTAACATGTACCTCCAATCACAATCCTGGAAAGAAAAGGGAACAAAGCAACAGCAAAGAGACCAGGCGCTAAAAGACAGGAAACGAGCAGAAGTTGAATAGTTCAGTAAATTGGCAAGTGGTTGCGGTGTGCTTTTATCAGTGTACTAGAGGCCCAGTGCACGAATTCGTGCACCTTGAAAGTAACTGTGGCCGAAACCGGTTTGGCTCAGTGGATAGAGCGTCGGCCTGCGGACTGAGAGGTCCCAGGTTCGATTCCGGTCAAGGGCATGTACCTGGGTTGCGGGCATATCCCCAGTAGGAGATGTGCAGGAGGCAGCTGATCGATGATTCTCTCTCATCAATGTTTCTAACTCTCTATCTCTCTCCCTTCCTCTCTGTAAAAAAATCAATAAAATATATTTAAAAAAAAAAAAAAAAAAGAAAGTAACTGTGGGCCTCGAGGCTGTGGTGGGCACAGGGGCCGGTCTTGGCCGATTCTCCACGCCCCCGCCCGGCCCCTCCCACTGCAGCCCCCAGTCCTCTATCTGCTGGCAGCCCTGCTCCTGTTGCCTCCGCTCCCACCTGCTGATGGCGCGGAGCAACTGGGGTTGCACCATCATCTGAAAGCTCAAATGGGTCGGGATCCACATTTTTTTTTATAAGAAAATACCAAGTCTTAATGTTTCCTCACAAAGATAGCCCTGCCTGTTGGCTAAGAAGAAAGGATGTACACAGTTCTTATGAGCAAACAAGATTTACCTGCTTCAGAATGCATACCATAATGCCAAATAAGTGATATAAAGAGGGTAATGGTGTAATGCTCTCATCTTCATTCAAATAAATTCAAAATAAAACAAAAAGTAAATGAACTAGGCCCTGGCTGGTTTGGCTCAGTGGATAGAGCCTTGGCCTGCGAACTGGAGGGTCCCGGGTTTGCTTATCAGGAAACAGGTTTCCCATCAACACCAAATGCTGCCATAACATCTCCTCTGCCAAGGAATTTAGTTATAAATCAATACGATAAGCAAGACTCGTAAGGGAAACGAGAAAAGCTCCAGAATGCGAGCTCGATCCCCAGTAGGGGGCGTTCAGGAGGCAGTCGATCAATGATTCTCTCTCATCATTGATGTTTCTCTCTCTCCCTCCCCCCATTCCCCTCTGAAATCAATAAAAATACATTTTTAAAAAATTTAAATAAAAAGTAAATGAACTAAATTAGTGCTGGGCAGTCCCACAGGGAAAAAGCGAGAGGACTTTAAATCGACCCGTAGTATTTTTTGTATATGATAAAAAGAATTCCATGAGGCTGAGCCACCTTCACGCCTGTCTCCAGCTCTCCCCACCTGAGGCATACCAGTCTGCAACCCACAGAGCTGGCAGTCAGGAGCTTTTGCTTTAGAATCCATGAGATAAGGGGGAAAGTCTTAGAGGACGAGGAAGCCTGGCTTTGGTGAGGCACCTGCGTGCATCAGTGTCGCACATGGAAGGTGACAAAACACTCAGCATTAGTCTTCTGCACAGAAATAGCAAAGAGCTCAAAGGAGTGAAAGGCAACAAGGCGTCCTACTGTGTGGTTGATGGGGTGGCCCAGTAAGCCTGCCTGGATCGGGAACCTGAGCAGAGTCCCGGGCACAGAACCTGGTAGGGTGACCTCCACAGGTCTTGGGCTGCTCCGTGACTCATACCCATTTGTCACTGTCGCTGAAGAGAGGAGTCAAGATAGGGCTACCACTGTGAGACTGGGCACTGGTGGGGGGCTGGCCCCCCAGTCAGCAGGCTGCCTCGGTGTGCCCTCCATTTACAAGGGTGCCTTTAAACCGGCGCTGGGTCTGCCTTGGAAAATTGTTGCTGGAAGCTGAGCAGGGAAACTGGACTTCACTATGCGGGTAGCGTTACGGAAGAGGTTACAGATGGTCTCAAAGAGCTCCACAAGCTCCTCTGCTGTACCCTCAGACACAGCGATGCCTGCGGTGGGTCTGTGGTTACGACATCCTCACTAGTGTGCTTAGTGAGCAGATGGTCTTTACCCAGAGCTCTATTTCCCACATGCGCCGCTGACCTCTATCACCTCTGTCGAGTCCTGTTGGTCAGAGCCTGCCGCTAGGCCAGCCACTCCTGGGGACTGATTGGCAGGGGCAGGGGTCCTTGAGGTACATCTCGGAGTCTGCCTGCTGCGGTCGTGATGAGTAACAGCACACCAGCCCAGCAGGCTCTGCAATGGGCAGCGCTATTTGATAAGTGCTTGTGTGGGCTACACACTCTGGTACTCTGGTGAGGTGCTTTATGGCCCCAAGGTGGCTCCCCATGCCCTCAACTGACAGATTGAGTAAACTGAGGCTGCACTGAGCTGAGCCACCTAAGATAAGCCAGGTCAGGAGAGTGGGGCAGAAATCATCTCCAGAGCAAGGACAGCTGCCCATCATCTCCTGAAAGATGCTGATTTAGCGCTGCAGCATGGTGGACCTTGCATACTGAAAGGGTAGGTGTGAATTTCGGTTTCTATCTAGTCTTTTTTTTTTTTTTTAATATATTTTTACTGATTTCAGAGAGGGAGAGGGAGATAGAAACATCAATGATGAGAATCATTTATCAGCTGCCTCCTGCACGCCCCCTACTGGGGACTGAGCCCACAATCCAGGCACGTGCCCTTGATCGGAATAGAACCTGGGTCCCTTCGGTCCGTAGGCCGACACTCTATCCACTGAACCAAACCAGCCAGGGCATCGACTTAGTCTTTTTTCTTAAATATATTTTTTATTGATTTCAGAGAGGGAGGAGAGATAGAAACATCAATGATATCAAAAAACAACCCTGTAGGTTGCTTAGTGTAAAAAAAAAAAAAGACCAAAACTTTTAAGAGGAATCTAAGCTGGCCTAGAAATTAATGTGGAAAGAAATAAAGAGAGGTTTCCTTCAAATGTCTGAAAATTATAATTAAAAACAAAAAAAAAAAGAAACATCAATGATGGGAATCATTGATCAGCTGCCTCCTGCACGCTCCCTACTGGGGATCGAGCCCACAACCCGGGCACCAGGTGACCCAAGCTGGCTGCCCACAGACAACAGCTGAACGTCAGAATTGGGGCTTTGTTTCCTTTCGGCTCACAGCAGACGCGTTTGCAGAGGTGTTATATGCAATGCAATGGAGCTCATGGAGGGGTCCCACCCCCTCCACCGGACCCCACAGCCAGATCTTAAGACCCTGCCTCAGCCCTGGCAGTGTCCTGGTAGCAGAAGCCTTGGTCAGCAGCCTCTGCAGGAATACAAGCCCCACCTGCTGGTTCTTCCCTGCACTTGGCCAGGCTGGGGGTGAAGGGTCTACACAGGTGTCCCTCACTTAACCCACCCTGCAGCAGAGATCTCTGAGCTCAGAGTGGCCACCAGCTAGGGACCCATATTTTGTTCCAGCCTGGACCTTAGAGAACTTTCTTAGGAGGTACAAGATCCTGCTCAAGGGCAGCACCTAGTGGCACACAGCAGCACTGCCCCCTGCAACCCCGCTTCAGCCCTAGTCCAGGGCAGTGCTCCTGAGGGTTCCCAACCAGATGCACTTGGAAACCAGCAGAGGCAGAGGCCATCAAATGGGCTTCTCCCCACACAGAACAGCACAGAGTCTGAGTGGGGGGTGGCTAAGGAGTCCTAGGGCTCTCTGGGGAAAGGGCTGCTGGGCCCATGAGCCTTTTGTGACTGCTCCATGTGGTCCCTACCAAGGGATGCTGGCCTGGAGCCCTAACAGTTCAAAAGGCAGCACTGGAGAAAGGAGCCAGGCAGGGGCTGGTAGGGCAGGGCCAGGAACTGGGCAGGGGAGGGACCCCACTGGTGGCGCTGGCCCTTCAGGAACTATGTGTCATGAGAAACGTGCACCTGGCATTATGAGGGAGTGAAAAGAGGAGATGGCTCCACATTGGGGAGGGCTGCAGGGTAGGTGACGGCTCTTTACTCCTGTCCCCAGCTGCTTGACCCCCAAAGACCTGCCTCACCCAGGGACTTCCTCGGCCTCAAGGAAGAAACAGACTCAGCTTTTGCAGATGTTTCCTTTCCTGCATCTAGGCAACATGCTTAGCCACAATGCCCTCCTACTCCCCATGCTACCGCCAGACTGACACCTCACGGGCTGGGTCATCTCCTCAGCTCTGGCCATGATGCCCAGTTCAGGGTCCAGAGGGCCCCAGCAAGGGACTGGGGAGAACAGTGTTCAGAGGCCCCCTTCCACCACTGACCCTGGAGGAGCCACCTCCCATCTCGAGAGGGGGATCGAGCTCACAACCCAGGCACCAGGTGACCCAAAGCTGGCCCAAGCACAGACAATGGCTAAACGTCAGAATCGGGCTTTATTTCCTTTCAGCTCACAGGAGAGGCCCATATCCAGCAGAGGCCCCTCCGATTCTGAGCCCGGGGGCATGCAGG